GCACACCTACAGCATTGGGGTGTCAGCATGTACTATACGAGTTTCAAATGCTGACGTGGGGCTTGAACCCATAACCTTCTGTCTTGAGGTGAGGGTGCTACAAACTGAGCCATGTACTGTATCTCAACCAGGAGAGAAAAAATAAGAGTATGTTTGCAGAGATTTTGTTCAGAGCAAAGAAAGAACATGTGTTTTTTACAGTGCCAATTGTTTGAAACATCTCAAACCACTTGATTTGAAATATCCTCCTGATATAAAAGGCACTACATAATGTACATTGTAATGTATAAATAATTACTGTCATGTGTGGTAACTGCTTTTATTGGCAAAATCTCAGTTGTACGAATTAATTGTCAGGTATGCAGGAGGGAAAGGCAATAAATTCCGTTTGCAATTACTTATTGAAACATAAAAAGAAACCATGAAAGCCCTAATTTGTATTAATTTGGGAGGTGAAAATGATTTCTACCAAATTGAATGAAACATCTGTGAAGATTGAAAGGAACATAGTAGATTGCATTCTTTCCAAATCTTGGGAGGCTGCAGTGGAACTCATAGTCCCTGTACACACCATATGAATCTTGACTGCACGCAGAACTAAGAGAGGCCGGTCTTCCTGAAGGAGAATGTATTGCAAGAGGTTGTTGTTAAAGGGACGTTGTTTGGAAAGCTGCTATGGCAACAGCTGCACATGATTTGACCCAAATGAGGTCAGAACTGTTTATGTCTGCTCCCACCTCACAATGAAAAGTAGGGATACCCTAGTACTCCTGCAGAATAGGAAGCGATTCTGTATTCGTGCTGGTCATATCCTGGAAATCTTGGATGACTTTCCGGTTTTTTTCTTGAGTTTGCAGGATGTTTATCAGTTGCTCTCAGGCTGATTAGGCATGGACTGTATCAAGGGAAGGGTTCTGTAGAGCAATTCACTGCCAAAAGTTAGTCATCGTGGGTTGAAATTCAGTTGTTGCCCTTCAAGCACACAGTGCCTTAATATCAGGTGGATTTGAGATTTATTTTTGGAAGGGAAGAGGAGCAGAGAGAAACCTGTTTTTATCTGGACCTCTCTGTTACTGTCATAGCTCTTAGGATAAAATGTTTCTGGCATGGTTTTGGCCATGCTACAATGGAGATCATTATTAATAATAATAATAATAATCCTTGCATTTGATAATAATAACAATCCTTGCGTTTGATATAGTGCCTTATCATGTCGTCCATGTCTCAAAGCACTTCACAGGATATACTGTAAAGTAAATTGACTGTGTATTTTGTGGGTGAAATGCATTGGACGTTGCACATAATTGCGTCCCACAAGCAGCAGTGGAGGAGAGACCAATTTTATTTGGGGGATTTGTTAGCTGGGACACTGGGAGAAATTCCCTTTTCTTTTTGAATAGTGCCATGGGATCTTTAACATCCACCTGAACAGGCAGATGGGACCTTGGTTTAACATCTCATCCGAAGGACAGCACTTCTGACAAAGAAACCACCCCCCCAAACACTACATCGGAGTTTCAGCTTAGACCATGTGGGTTCAAGGCCCAATGCGGGCCTTGAATCCACAATCTTCTGACTCAGAGGCAAGAGTGCTACCACTGAGCTAAGCTGATGTATATGTTGCTGATGGAGGATTATGATATCTGCTGCAAGGAGAGAGAAAATTTATTTTCTTTTTAAAAACAAAAACTGGGATGTTGGTCTCGATTATATTTGTCTGCTTCCAAGAGGAGGTGGAATAGGAAACTCATACACTTGGGTAAAAAGGGATAGAACTTGGAGACCTAGTTTCTAAAGTGTAGTTAACACTTGAATTCATTGAATAATTTGGGTGTTATATTATTGTGAACTCATTGAAAATCAATGTTAGGTTTAAGCGCTCTGGGGGGCTACTCTGTGTGAAGAGTGATGTATAAATGCAAATTGTTGTTGTTGTAGGTCTTGGGCCATTTTCAATTGTGCTAACTCTTAAGTCACAGCAATTTGAATCTGGTCTATGATCAGAATTCGCTTGAGACAATTTGATGTGTACATGCGGGAGAAGGAAATAGAGGGCTATAAGTGAGGGGATTAGGAGGGGCAAAGTATAAATACTGGCACAGACTTGTTGGTCTGAATGGTCTGTTTCTGTGCTGTATGACCCTCCGTGACATCATGAAGCACACAATGGGTTAACTTGAAAGTATATACATCCACTATTCATTGCATGACTATTTCCCTCAGGAATAGACCAATAACTTTTTTGTTGCGCTGTAAATTAACATGTTGCACTGCCATGCATCTGGGATTCATTTTTTTCTCTGGTAGGGGTGCTATAGTTTGAACATGAAATTACAATTATTTTCCAGCAAAGATTCATTTTTCACATTTTCTACAAAGCAGTGATGCAAATTAGGAGAGGAAGCCAGTGTCCTGAAGACAAGAAAGGGCTCGGAGAATGAGCAATTCAAAGCTTTTGGATGTGGTACAGCAACACTAGTGTCCAAAAGGGCTGAGGTTTTCTAATCTATTCCACACATGATTTAAATATCACTGGTGATGAAGTGGCAAATTTACAGCATGCCACGTACAGGCTCCTGTCAAGAGATCAAAACCAAGACTTGTGTGCCTTTTAACTGCTACAGAAAAACTTTCAATAGCACTAACGGCTTCCCATCCATTGAACTAGTACAAAGTCTTAGGAGACCTAACTTGCTCTGTACTAAATACATTACTTAATGTTTGCACTATCTATTTTATGACGGCAGCCCTGAAAACATTTTGTTGCACATATTGTTGCATCCTTACATTTGATAAAGCGTCTTTCACATCTCAGAATATTGCACAGGATTTATGATGAAGTCGGTAGTTTGAAGGTGAACAAAGTAGCAATTTGTGCACAGCAATGTCCCACAAACAGCCATTAAGTGAATGACTAATTTTCTTTATGGATTGTTGGCCAGGACACCAGGAGAAACTCCCCTCATTTTTCGTACAGTGCGCAAAATCGTTAACTTCTGTCTGAGCAGACAGACCCGACCGTGGTTTTTAACTTCTCATCTGAAGGGAAGAACCTCCAACAATGCAGTGCAGTCCCAGCACTGCATTGGAATGTCAGCCTAGACCGAGTCCAAAATCCCAATGTGGGGCTTGAACCCACAACCTTCTGGCTCAGAGGTGAGTGTGTGACTAACTGAGCCAGGTTGACATGGTTTCTACTTAAAGGAGCCAAGTACAGCAGAATTCCTTTGTCCCCCAAAGGCAAAGCAAGAGCAGAATAAAGGGGATCATATATATAGGTTTTCTATTGATGTGGGAAACCTTAAACATGAGTAGCATCTGGATCGCGGTATTTCAGATAACCTTATTGGGAAGTGAACAATTGTCTGTACAATTAATAACCTGCACATAGGCAAATGAAGAACTCAGCAGGATTTGAACTCCTGGTGATTACATATATCCAGTGTTATGTAAAGTGGACTTGTTTCATTGTATTGAAATCAATTGGTCTTTCCATTTTCCTTCCATAGTGCTCTTCAGCTGTGAGGTTCTTCTCTCAGTGGAAAGGATATGGCTCTGTGCTTTCTTTACCCATTGTTTCCTGGAACATGATGGACAATCGGCAAAAATTCTGCTACATGCCATTAACCTGATTCTGATGGAATTTATATCATTATTGCTCTGGAAATCTAGGATAAAGAAAGGTGTTGGCAGGTTCTTTCCAATCTTGATAGTTAGTGAAAAACTACAATGGTTGTGAAGTGTTGTGAAAGGATCAGTATTTTTAAAAATTCATCTCAAGATGTGGGTGACACTGGCATTTATTGCCTATCCCTGGTTACCTTGAGAAGGCTATCACTTTGTAGGTCAGAAAGTAAAAAGGGAGCTTGTTTAGTTTCTCTGGATGTACCTCTTATTTTATTTTCTCTTCTCTCAAAACAAACCTTTTTGACTGCGCTTTAGGTCATCTTTCCCCTTCCCACCCCAGCTCGGATACCTACCTAGCATTGCTAAACACTTGGAAGCATTCTCCTGATGTGACAGATGCTACAATAAATGTGAATTGTATTGTATTTTAATGAAAGGAAACGCAAGGTGATTTTAGCCAGGATTTAAAAGAGCTCTAATTTTACACTGTCTCAGTGACCAGTTCAAGTGCTGATTGCTGTTTGAAGTAAAATAATATTTTTAAAAATAGCAGCAGCTGAATGTTCCTGATTTCTTCAGTTGTCACAATGTCATTCCGTCCCTATCTAACACCTAATGCCACTGAAACCCTCATCCATGTCTTTTGTCACCTCCTGCCTTGATTTCTCTAACTCACTCCTTGCCGGTCTTCTCAGTTCCACCATTCACAAGGTCCAACTAATACAAAATTCGGCTCCCCTTATCTTCACCCATACCAAACACTGCATGTCCAACACTCCAATCCTCACCATGTTCCACGGGCTCTCTGTCTCTGAAAGGATTGACTTCAAGTTCATCGCCCTCGCTTACAAATTTCTCCATGTTGAAGCACCTGGACACCTCTCTAATCTGGTGCCATAATGCCACAACTCCTAATGCCTAATCTCTGGTACTCCCTGCCTTAATCCCTCCACCTCACCCCCTCAATATCTTCAAATCTCAACTGAAGATCAACCTCTTCAACTGAGCCTATGACCATCTTGCCTCCCACTCGCTCGACATCCGGCCCTGCCAATGAACAGCGCTCTGAGATGCTGTGCAGCGTGATGGGCACAATATAAATACAAGTTGTTATTGATGTGTATCAGGAAAACCTATTGTTCCCTCTCCATTTCCCAATCCATTGACGGACAGATGGATTTTCACCCATTATCATGTAACATTTTATCTGATGAAAAGCACGACCAGGTCAGTTATCATGCTGTAGTGTTTCTGTGAAATTTCTCATTTTAAAACGAAATCTATCATTCTGTCTCGTATTAAATGGGCCGACTTTGCTTAGAAGATGAGGAAAATTTGGCACTAGTTAATTTGTAATCTTTTTTTTATTTTAGTTCCCAGAATGTGGTTTCTTTGGAATGTATGACAAGATCTTGCTCTTTCGTCATGACCTCAATTCAGAGAACATCCTACAACGACTGACCTCAGCGGAAGAAATTCACGAAGGAGACTTGATTGAGGTTGTCCTTTCTGGTAGGTAGTCGCAATAGCGCTTTTGGTCACTGTAGTGATGAACATTACTTGCTTCTCAATGCTAGAATCAGAGCCCCATTATAAAACAGTAGTTGGGATCCATAAAATCTCAACCACCATTAATGGTGAGCACTTCTGCATTCTCTGCCCATGTGGGTAAAAAGTCAAATGACTTCCCGAATGCAGCCTACCATCCTGAACTAAAACAGTTGATGTTGCTTCTTGCACGTGCACATCATCGGTCTATTGACGTCAGACATTTCTTGACCTGCAAGAAGAAGGCTGGCATTATGAAACAAAACTATTTTCAACTGGTATTTAAAACTGACACGGCTTTCTAGATGCATTTGGGAATTTTAGTAAGTGAATGTCGGAGTTCCTATCTTAATCGCACTAAAAGTGTAACTGCATTATAATGAAGCGCAATATAACTGGGTTCTACTTCATTTTCTCATAGTGTATAAGACCTTGAGTAATTGGCATTTATTTAGAAAACTAAAACTGTCATTGTTCTTCATTAATTGAAGCATGTCTTCTCTTTCTCTCCCTCGGCAACTGGATGGATAGGAGCTTTGTAGGAATGAGAGCATATGGGGGATGAGGGGGAAACGGAGGTATGAAGCACAGGTGGTGTAGGGACTGGGTAAAGGAAGCTGACCTAGGTGAGGGAATCTTGTTGATTTTTGGAGACCAGGAAGTCCGTGACCTCTTTGCTTTTGTAGTCGGGGGTGAGTGAAGGAGACAGCTGGTAGTGGAGAGAGCAGTGGTGGGATTATCTTTACCTTGCAGGATGATTCTGGAGTAGGAAGAGGATTTGGCTGAGGAGAGGAAACAACCGTCAGTTTTGTTGGGGTCCATGAGGCCAGATTTATTGTGTGTAGTGAGTGTGTATTGGAGTTGGTGGGGGGCGGGATAGGAAATGAAGATCTTACCAAGGTTTTGTAATAATACGAGTGATGTACAACGGTAATTTTATGCTAATCAATCTCTGGGAAGCTGTTACTTATTCTCATTGACTTGGTTAAAATCTTTGTATACAACATAATTAAAAGCACAGTTGGCCACATGTTAAATCCCAGAGTTAACGCATGGTCATTTCTTTTCTGGTGAGTCAAATAATCATAATTCGAGTTTGGACAATTAACAATTCAAATCTATTGATCATCAGCTGGACTGAATCTAAAATGTTTTCCAAATGCTTGCTGTCTGATGCTGTATCAAATCAGATATTTCAGCCGAGGCAGGAAAATTAACCCCTCACCCGTCCCTCCAACCTGTAGCACCACTCTGCATAAACTGAAACACTCTCAGCCTGTTTGACTTGGCAGCTCACTCAGTTGCCCTTTATCCATGGTTTAACCTCTACTACTCATTTGCTCCATAGAGACCATACATTGAGGAATCTCATTTAAGATTATGTCCAGAAGCAAAATGTGAAGTCTCGGGAGAATAAACTATCTTTAAAAGTTGTTATCAAAATGTTGAATGACAAATACTTATCGTGGCCTTTCTCTGGGGATGGGAGAAAGATTCTTTGGCTGCTTTTATTAGGTGTTTTTGTTTCATTCCCAGAAATAATTCTTTTCATTATTATGGATGAGAGAGAAAAGAATATTTGTAATCCTTCATCATCCCTGGTTATGGTGCTTTGCTCAGTTATTTGCCCCTGTGCCTGCAAACAAATGTCCTGAGCAACAATTATTACCGAAAAAAAATCAAAGTATGAAGGTTTGCAGTTGAGACTTACTGCAGATTCCACAGCAGAAGGATATTGAACCTCATACCAACAAGCTCATGTGAGCTAAACATTATATAATAATAATAATCCTTGCATTTGATATAGCACAGAATATACTGTGAAGCGCTTTGAGACGTCTCAAAGACGTGATAAGGTACTATATCAAATTTAAGGATTATTATTATACTGGAAAGTGAATTGACTATATTTTTGTGGGCGAAACATGGCAATTGGCAATTGCGCACAGCAATATCCCGCAAGCAGTCGTGGATTGCATCTGGATATTGCTGTGCACGTAACTTGCATCCTTTTGGCATACAGTGACATCAATTCAGAGACATATGTGGAACATGGCATGGTCCCATATGAAGCAATGTCTTTGAAAGCAAATCTTTATTTTGAAATATAAATAATATAATTTATACACAGTTTTATTTAGTGATATGACTGGAAACTTTTATACCATCGAGAGTATTATTTTACAAAAAAAGCATGACATAATATTTTTGTCCTCAAGGGTGAAAGTACCTCAAGTACTGTTTGCTTGGCAGTAGAACCAGATTGGATGATTTATGTGTAATGCAGTCCAAAATAAACAATAACAATAGAGTTAGTGAGTGGATGCTCTATTTTACATGTATTAGTTGTACATTTAGAAACTACACATGTTGCACTATTAAGAGGTGCTGTTCACAGGACAACTTAAATGTTAAAAAAAAATCGGTATATTGGTTCAAAATGAAAGCTGTGTCTACTCATTTTTCTTGTGGTCAGTTGAGTGTTTGACACATATGGAAACTCATCACCATGCTTGAGATTATTGAAACCAGACAGAGTTCCGTGAAAGCCACCTACACATTTCCATGTCTGGAGTGGAATGTACCCTCCTAGAGTGTACATTCCTACATTCCTAGACGGACACACTCAGCTTACCTAAATTCCAGAGAGTATTACCACAGGTTGGCAAGAGCAAAGAGTTGTGGACTCCAGAATGGGGAGTTTAACTAGCTAAACTACAAAGCTTACCTAGCTAAACAACAAAGCTTACCATTGAAAGCATCATCCAGCAACCTCCCTGCTGCTTGTCCAGTCCAGCTAGGAACATCCTACCCACTAGGGCTTTGGATTGAGGGTTCTCAGGAGCTGAGTTGGTAGAATCCCGGCTCCCAGTGCTGTTGATGAGCCAGTCTGGCTGTGCTTTCATCATCAGTGTCTTGAACAGGATATTGTGTTAAATATCAAATATGTCACTAAATTAAGTGCAGTGTTGCTTTGAAAATATACATTTTGTTTTCTGCCACATTTGAAGCCTCTGTGGGTTTTTCTCATTATCTTCCAGTTTTGGAAGGTCTCAGAAGGTGGACAGAGCACGAGGTATGAGGGGCTGCCAATTAACCAATGTCATTGGCTTGAAGCCATTCAGTGAACTAATGATAAATAATAATAGTAATTTAATCCTTGCGTTTGATACAGTGTCTTTGATGTCATGCTGACAACCTACCCATCACATTTATTTACATTTAATGATGTAAATTTTTATTCCTGACTTGCCTTCGGAGAGAGTTCTTGATCAGACTCCCAGAAGGCTTTCACCAAATTCAGCCTTGAGAAATCCGGTTGTGCCTTATCACAAGTTGCCTGTTGGGGTAGGCTTGCCCTTGGGGCAAACCAGTAAAACAAAAGCTGTTTAATATGATGGCAAACAAAAGATATAGGGTTAAATTATGTCACTTAGGATATCCACTCTTTCTCTCTGCCGTCTAATAATAATAATCCTTGCATTTGATATAGCACCTTATCAAGTCTTCGTGTCATCTCAAAGCGCTTCACAGAATATTCTGTAAAGTGAATTGACTGCATATTTTTGTGGACGAAACGCAGCAGAGAATTATGCACAGCAGTGTCCCACAGACAGTTTACCCCTGGAAAAGTGTTCCGCCAATCGACTATCAACTGAGTTCCGACTTACTTTTAGGTGAACAGAGGCATGTGGAGTAAGAAAACTTTCCCAACATTTCGCCCTGCCAGAGATCGAACCCAGGTCTCTTGTTTGCGAGGCGAGCACTCTAACCACTGAGCTACAGGACTCCACAAATGCTGGGTGTAGGCTGATGCTCCATGAATGAAGCGGCTTACGATAAGATGTCCGCGATTTCACCTTATTTTCTGACAGCCGTCTCATCCTTTAACTGTGTGCGTTCACTCACAGTTGATAACTAGTGGGTATTGTCAGATCTTACTCATGCATTGAACCTACTTGGAACTATAAAGAAAAGTTGCCTGGAAATAAAACTGTAGTGGAAAGTAAGCTGAAGGTGAAGTCACTGACATTCAGGTACAGCTCCTGGCATCCGCTATTGTTTAGTACAGACCTGTTTCTGCACCGGTGCATCAAGTTTCCTTTCATGCGTGTGACACACATGATATAATTTCATTACTCTTATCATGGTATTGTGTTACCTGCCATTTATCAGCCTGACCACAGTCTAGACTGTAGGAGAGCCAGTATTTCCCCTCCCACCAGAATGCACTCTTTGTCAGTCGCGGCATAAACATTATAAACCTTGCGTTCGATAATAGTGCCTATAACATCAATTTCAAACAACTTCACAAATTATTGCTGGTAAGTGTAGTGACTATTTGTTAGTGACTGGCAGCTAATTTGTAGGTAGCGGTGTCCCATAAGTAACCATAAAGTGAAAAAAGAATTAATCTGGGAGATTGTTGATCAGGGACATAGGGAGAAACTTTCCTTCTCTTTGAACTATGTTGTTGATAATAACAGTTAATAATCCTTTGTCTTTGATATAGCACCTTGTCATGTAGTTGAACATCTTGAAGTGCTTCACTAGATTTACTACAAACTGGAGTGACTTTTAACATATTCAATTTGTGTACAACAACATCCCACATTCATTAACGTCCATCTGAGCAGGCAGATGAGACCTTGGTTTTACACCTCATTCAAAGAATGTCACCTATGACATTACAGCCTCCTCCAGCTAAGCACTGTAGTCTCAGGCTAGATTTATCATTTAGCTTTTCTGTGTGATATCACGTATAGTCCTTTAAAAACCTGTTTCCAAAATACCACAAGACAACTAATTTGCTGCCATTTGAGTACGTAGTAAGTGTTGGACAGTTTGTAACTTCTTCAAACTCTGTCTCCAATAAGATCCAATGGTCTGCTCTGTCTCCAATAAGTCTTTTTGCATTGTTGGAAGTACATGAAGGGGAAACCTGCTGCGCATCGACTATTAAT